TATTAAAAATATAAAAACTCAAAATACTAACGTTGCTCTTTATTTATTATAATATTAAGATATACAAATGCCATAAGTATCCTTACAATTTTCTAGATAAAAGGAAAGAGTACGTTTTGACCTGAAGACAACCTTAATCGAAAGACACATTATTTGAAGGTCATTGTGCCTATATCACCCAATTATTAACTAAATGTTGGAATTTTAATTTTTAGTTTTTTTAATAATATGTACCATTATGATAAAAGTTAATTATATATTTGGGTAAGGGGAAATGGAAAGGAGAGGAAGGAACAGATGTTCTATCTTTCCATTGATCTCCCCATTTTCCTCTTCACCCTTCTCTTCATTTAGATAAATAAATAAAAAAATATATATAAAGCAAAAACCTTCCTTTCCCTTCCCCCAAATTCTTTTGATAATTAAATAAAGGAAATTTTTTCCTTTCTCTCCATTCCCATCAACTAAAATATCACTACTAAAAAAAAACAGTATAACCGACAAACTTATAATTGACAGCCATGTTTTCGTTGATTATACTACTATAATCAACATCTTTTTTTTGTCAATTATAATGATTTGTCGATTATATGTGACTTTAACTAATCTAATCGACAGTCTTTCTATTCTGACTGTCGATTATGTATAGGCCATAATCGACAGAAATGCTGTCGATTATGGCTTGTTTAATCTGTATAATATACATATATTTTATAGGATGAGAAGTTAGTATATATTTCTTAATTTAAATCAGTTTTAGTTATAAAGTATTAAAGTTTATATTAACAAAAAAATATAATATTAATAAAAAAATCTAACATAATCTTATAGTAAAATGAAAACAAAAATACAATATAATATTTTGTAAAGAAATAGCACATCATTCTTTTTATCAAACCTATAATTTCAATAATTAATTATAACCTCAAAAAAAATTTTGATTCTTACTAACCTTAAAACCAAAAATTTTATAAGAGAATCAATAAAAAGAAACTAAAGGAAAAAAACCAAAAAGAAAAAAAAAAGAAAAAAAAAAGGGAGAGAACTAGATAAATCAAACTGACAATTAGTTTAAAGAAATAATACATCAATTTAAATATAAAATATTAAAAAAAAAAGATAAAAAAAGAATCAAAACATAATTGACGGCCCCATTGGCTGTTGATTATACTTATAATCAACGAAAAAAAGGCTGTCGATTATGTTTTGATTTTTTTTTAATCTTTTTTTTATAAAAATTTTTTATCTTTAATTTTTATATTTAAATTGATATATTATTTTTTTAAACTAATGCTCAATTTAATTTATCTAATTCTCTTCTTTTTTTTCCTTTTTTTTTTTGTTTTTTCCCTTTAGTTTCTTTTTATTGATTCTCTTATAAAAAAGATAAAAAAAAATCAAAATATAATCGACAGCAATTCTGTCGATTATATGTATATTTTATTTTATTTTTATCTTTTTTTTTGTATTTTTAATTTTTATATTTAAACTGATGTATTATTTGTTTAAATTAATGGTTAGTTTGATTTATCTAATCCTCTCATTTCCTTTTTTTTTTCGTTTTTTTTTTCCCTTTAGTTTCTTTTTATTGATTCTCTTATAAAAAAAGATAAAAAAGAAATCAAAACATAATTGACAGCCATCCTCTTTCGATTATAAGTATAATTGATAGTCACTTTGGTTGTCGATTATACTTGAAACCCGTCCATTCACCCCAAAAAAATTAAATCTCCTGACTAATTTAATTTAAAATATATTCGACAACCTTATTTTGTATAATCAACAAGATTTCTGTCGAATATATTTGTATTATATAGGGGTTTCAGCATCAAAACATCCCATTGTCATCTCTTTTTCATCTTTGGTTATCTCTTCCTTTCTTCTTTTTTTTAACAGGTAAAATGTCCTAACTTTTCTCTCAACTTCTTCTCCTTTTATTTTTCCTTTTTCTTTCATCTTTTATACTCTCCCATTTGTATTTTTGTAAGTATCTCTAATTTTATTTTATTTTTCATTTAT